ACTCATTAATTTCTATCCATTAGGTTGTTTAATTTCTTGCCCCCAAAATGAGATTTTCCCTTTGACTTTTGCAATTATGGCAACAGTATGAACACTCAAAGTGTGCGCAAAAGATCAATACATCTTCTGAAATGAAGAATTCGACTTCATGCTCTAACTGCCTTCACTAAACAGTGTTTCCATTCACTTGCCTCCTTTGTTGAAATGGAGGGGAGAGGCAAACATGACAGCTGGGGAATTAGGACTGGGTAATGTACTACTGCCAGGACAAGGGAGGCGCAGTGGCCAGGATGGTCCTTTGAGACAGGAGAACCCAAATCCTGGGGAGTGGATACAGCTTGTTCCAGGCCACACAGCCACTCTGTGGTCCAGCTAGGGCTCCACACCACAAACCCTTAACCACTAGGCTCGTAACGCCTCAGGCTGAAATCATATCCGTAAAAGGGCTTGCAGCATTGGACCACAAGCTTATTGAGGGCAGGGACTGTGCATCTTCCCAGTGCTTACGGCACTTGGAGGGACTCGGTAGACATCTTTTAAGCAGAAATGAATGGTTTCCAGTATCATTTTAGTGGGATTCTGAAAACAATTCTAGAATGATCTATTTTAAAACAGTTTATTTGCATCTTAAATAAATGCCTATATGGTCAAGTCCCATAAGGGCCGTATGCATGAGTTTTCTAAACAAAAGATGTTGCATGCCGTGATAATTAATCAGTTGGCATTGACTGAAGCTCTTAATGAAATGAAGCATGAACTGTTTGAGAAAGCAATTGAAAGCTATCATACATGCCATGAATCATCTCTCACATGCACATTTATTAAATCAGAATTCATAACTTTGATCTTTTATCTAACAGGTTTGCTAGCCTTTCGAGACTCGATTGGTGGATAAAAAAGACAGATGTTTCCAGAGCTAAATTGAAGGGAAGTGGGACAAGAAACCAGTCAGACATCAATTAAACAGAGCAGGCAGCCAAATGCCCTTACTCAAGTGTTTGGGTTTTATGCTACCATCGTGATATAAAATTCAAAGAAATTTTTGCGAGTAAAGAGGAACTGAAGAAGGATGCAATGCCAAAGGTTCCCAGGCACATGTTGTGGTGGTGCAGGAGGCAACGACGGATTGGGAGCTTCTGGGATGACTGTCATTCAGGGAAACTTCAGACAAGCAAGAGTCAGATGCATGGAAACCCTGTTTTTACTTCCTCAGGGTGCCAGGGAGCTGAAAGGGGATCAGAATCCTCTCCTGGTTTCGAGCTCTTCAAAGGCACCTGTGCCTTTTAGTTGAAGCAAATATATATCACATCAATGTCACATCCCACGACTATTGTCCCAGGCACCTCTTTGGGTGATCAAATGAAAGTGGATTGGGAAGCGTATGAAGATGTTTAGCTCCTTTGACGGCTGGCGGCTGTAAATTGGTGGATCAAGGTGACATTGTCCCCACAGCTCACGATTGTGCCACTTCTTAGAGTCTCATATTCATGAAAGCAGACCTGGAATTCTTACAGCGAGCCCTCTTGTGCTGAAAGTAAAGGAGACTTCCCTTTTTAATGGCTTTGACACAATGTGGCCATTCTCCAAATCCTTTCAAGCCCACCCTTTGCCAACCAGAATCATAATCCAGCTGCCGACTGACAGTCCCACTGGACATTCCAGTACTTTCTTTGTACAGAACACACATCTACCTCATGACTTTTCTCCAACATTATCTAATTAGATCACTGCACTACATCACTAGGACCATCACCAGAGTGTGACGCATTTAGAGAAAATTAACCATCTCCATCATCATATGTAATATTAACACCTCCTCTCTTTCACCTATGTTAGGCAAAGGACATTGGATTTCAAAACCATAAGCAAGTAGAAGAAAATATGCATGACTTGAGACAGGTAAAAACTACTAATGAAAACAATCAACGCGTGCTGCCAACCTCTCTTGCAATCAAACTGGAAAACTAGGTGTCCTACATGGTCCACAATTGGTGTCTACTTCTGTGCTCAATTGGGACGGGAGTGGAGGAGGGGCTACAAATCCCAGCATCGTTTCTCTAGCTCAGCAGTTCTCACACTGGACTATGCCTCACAACCATCCAATTGCTGGGTCCCACTCCAGAATTTCTGACTCAGTAGGTCTGGGGTGGATCTCAAGATTTTGCATTTGTGGGGCTGGCGCTGTGGCGCAGCAGGTTAAAGCCCTGGCCTGAAGCGCTGGCATCCCATATGGGCACTGGACTGGTTCTAGTCCTGGCTGCTCCACTTCCGATCCAGCTCTCTGCTATGGCCTGGGAAAGCAGTAGAAGATGGCCCAAGTCCTTGGGCCCCTGCACCCATGTGGGACACTCAGAAGAAACCCCTGGCTCAGATTGGCACAGCTCCGGCCATTGCGGCTAACTAGGGAGTGAACCAGTGGATGGAAGACCTCTCTCTCTGTCTCTAGCTCTCTCTGTAACTGTCTTTCAAATAAATAAAATAAATCTTTTTTAAAAAAAGATTTTGCATCCATAACAAGCTCCTAATGGATACTGATGTTGCTCGCCCAGGGTCCACATTTTAAGGATTATGACTGCAGGCAAAGTAAACTTTACTGGCTGAGCCATGCTGCTTTCTACAAGGCAGAATGGATGCGCTGGAACTCATGGGCCCTGAGGCATGTGTCCTTACCTGATGTCAGTATCTCCACACCATCACAGTTCATTGTATTTTATACCCTTCCGTTGTTATCTGCAACAACACGCCAGCCCTCAAGTTCATTAGTATTTGTCGTGAGACAGGGATTCAGGCTCACGTCAAAAGTATCATCAATGTAGAATGGAGAGAAGATCCTTCAAACTCATCACTTCCCTAGGCCCCAGAGGAAATTAACATCAGAGAGTCTCAAACACTTATCTGAATCTATGAAGCAGAGGCGGAACTAAAACCCAAGGCTGCTACACACACTTCAAGCCCTTCCCTCTACCTCCGCCCAACCACTGCCCCTGGGAAGGTGTTTGAACTATCCTGCTGATTCTAGCAGAGTGAATTTCCATTTATAAGACTGTTCGTTCCCTGGTCCAGGTCCTCCTTTGTCTCAGGCCTGGTGAGCTACACATGCGCACCTGCTGGGGAGTGAGCCAAGGATGACAATGACAATGCTCACTTCAGAGACTTTGACCTATTGCTCTGGGGTGGAACCAGGCATATACATTTTTTAAGACTTCGTAGTGATTGAACATGTAGTTGGGCTTGAGAACCACTACCTTGACCACAAGGCTCTCAAAGGTAGAATATCCCTTCCCTACTCTTTTAGTAGCAAGGCCCTAGGAGATGCTTAGGAAACACATGTTGAGTGAAACACCAGAACTGTGCTTCTTAAAGAAAAAAAAAAGAAAAAAAAAAACAGACCAGCACCATCACCATCCCCTGGGAGCTTGTTAGAAAGGCATCTCCTTGGTCCGCATCCAGATGTACTGACTCAGAGACTCCGGGGGCGGGGCCAGCGATCTGTGTGCTAACAAACCCACTAGAACTCTGGATAATTCCAACAGATGCTCTCACTGAGACTGTCTACAACAGAAGAGCAAAATAAACGTATGGTAGAATTTAGAAATGTAAAATGTGAGGAATGGAGGAACCCAGCGCCATTAGACCAGGCTGGGTCCAAGGGGTCACCACTCATGTAAGAGAGCAAGGTTGGGGACAGCAAGCAACTTGTAGGAGAGCAGAAGGCCATCACTGAGGCAAGTTCACGTCCTTCGAGCCTCATGAGAGAGCTGTGGATGAAATACTGCAGGTAAAAGATGCAGATGGCCAACGTGAGCTCCCGGAGAACACGTGGACTTAGAAACTCCCCACAGCCCTGACATACTGGCCCTAAACTCTGGAGCAAAGAACTTAGGTTTTCTGAACTTTCTTAAAGTAAGCAGCATAGCTGCTTAGCAAGGTTGTAATAAAGTTTTTTCCATCAAGCATGGTGCCTGGAAATGAGTGGAGCTCAAACTTGAGAGCTGTAATGAGGGTTTCAGAAGATGAAACAGGGCCTCAAGCCCACTGTCCTCATGCGACAGTAAAGGGAGCTGGAGAGTGACTGTCCCACTAAATTACAAGAGAGAAGGTGGCCCCTTTTCAGTGAGGAAAGCATAGGTGATGGCTGTGTCTTCTGGATACTTCCTATGTGTGGTGGTTGGGTTCCCAGGCTAGCCCACGAAACCAGTCTGATTTTGATTCTGTCTGAATTCAGGTCCACAGCCCTGAGAGGCATAAACCACAGGGCCAGGAAAGAGCAGAATGTGGCGCATGCTCCACAGAATCACTGGTGCCTCTTCAGGCCCAGGTCAAGGCCACCTGCACCATTTAAAAAGGAAATGGAGCAGGTCATGAACCTTCCCCAGCCTGCTGTGCACCCAACCTCCACTCCCAAGAAAGCTGAACTTGGCCAGCAGCCGACAGAACCACAGACATTTCTTTGGAGCACTGTCTTTGAAAAAAAAGTAAAGGAACTCCACCCAAAGTGATTAACTTAAAAGATACAGAAGCCACAAGAGCTCTCTGCCTTCATTTCAGAAGGCAGTTCTTTGAACACAAGCACACGGTGCAGGTGGGCACATTTCAATGATGGGTGAATGTGGGCCTCATCCCACCATTCACAGGTCCCCTACCTGGAGAAAGGCACATCACCCAGGTGCATCCCACGCACTAGGCAGGAGAAGAGCCGCTGTCCCATGGCTGACCCCTGTTTATTTAGTCATTAATTAATAAGCAGTCATTGTGTGCCATGCTTGGAGCTTAGTACTGAAGAAAAAGGAGGAATAATGGGAGGGCAGGGACTCTATCCAGCCCTTAAGGGATCTACTGACTATCTTGTTAAACCAAATTCCCTTCACTTAATCCCTACAGTGACCCCATTAGGCAGGGGGCTGGCATTGTGGCTCAGCAGGTTAATCTGCCACTTGTGTCACTAGCATCCCTTAGCAGAGTGCCAGTTCCTCTTCTGACCCAGCTCCCTGCTAATGCACCTTGGAAGGCAGCAGAAAATGGTCTAAGAACTTAGGCCTCTACCACCCATGTGGAAGATCTGAATGGAGTTTTTGGTTCCTGGTTCCTGGGCCTGGCCCAGCCCAGTCTGTTGTAGCTATTTGGGGAGTGAGCCAGCAGACAGAAGATCTCTACTTCCCTCCCTGTTGCTGTCTTCCAAATAAATAAATAAACTTTTTAAAATCACTATTAGTTGGGCACTGTTATCATTTCCATTCTATGGATAAGAAAAGTATGATTCAAAGGAAAAGAAAAAAAACCCTGATGAGGAAGTGGCACAGCTGAGATTTGAACCCAGAGATTCCTGTCGCCAGTGACAATGCTAATGCCATATATACTGAGGGCGAGGGACAAGGCCTTCCTCCTATTTCTAAACGGCAGGATTTCCATATGTAAAACCACTGACTCAATGGGTTACATTTGTGAGTCTCCTCTGTCCCCATCTACAAGGTTCAAGGTGAACAAACACACTCACAGCTCTTGAATGCTAAAACCAATTATTCCAACCCTGTCTCTGACAGATCGAAAACTGAGACTCAGAGAGGCGGAAGAGACTGCCCACAGTCACACAGCGAAACAACGACAGAACAAGAATGTCTTAGTCCATTTTTTCCTGCTGCAGCAGAATACACCAACTGGGGGATCCATAAAAGAGAGAACTTGGGGCAGGCATTGTAATGCCATGGGTTAAGCTACCTCATGGACACCATCTCCCTTATCCCAGTGTAGGTTTAAGTCCTGACTCCTCTGCTTCTGACCCAGCTTCCTATACTGATGCACCTGGGAAAGCAGCAGACGATGGCCCAAGTACTCGGACCCTGCCACCCACACGGCAGACCCAGAAAAGGGTTTCAGGCTCTTGGCTTCTACTTGGACCAGTTCCAACTATTGTAGACACTTGGAGAGTGAACCAGCAGATGGAAGATCTCTCTCTCTCTCTCTCTCTCTCCCCTCTCTGTCTCCCTCTCTCCCTCCCCCTCCCTGTCAGTCTTTCAAATAAATGAATATATTTTTCAAAGATTTATTTATTTACTTGTAAGGCAGAGTTACAGAAAGGCAGAGGTAGAGAGAGACAAAGAGGTCTTCCATCCTATAGTTCACTCCCCAAATGGCCGCAATGGCCAGAGCTGGGCTGATCTGATCCCAGGAGCCAGGAGCGTCTTCTGGGTCTCCCATGTGGGTGCAGGGGCCCAAGAACTTGGGCCATCTTCTATTGCCTTCCCAGGCCATAGCAGAGAGCTGGGTGGGAAGTGGAGCAGCTGGGACTCGAACCAGGAACCTATATGGGCTGCTGGCACTGCAGGCAGTGGCTTTACACACTATGCCACAGCACTGACCCCCAATAAATATTTTTTAAAAACATTGCTCACTGGCCTAGAGGCTGGAAAGTCCAACATCACTTCAGCATTTGACAAGGGCCATCTTGAAGCATTGTAACACGGCAGGCGCAGGCACCTGGGAGTCACAGAGCTCACTCCGGTAACAAAGCCACACTGGAGGTAACTAACCCAGTCCCTTGGTAACAAGATTCAGGAGGGAGGCACTGCACAACCTGATCCCCTTTCAAGGTCTCGCTCCCTCTATCATCACAGTGGCAATCACATTGCAACCTGAGTTTTGGAAGGGACACTGAAGCCCTAGCACAGGACTGGACAGTGAGCTGTGCTGATGCTGACAACTTCCTGTTTTTCAGAGCTGAGATGTAAACACGCACCCAAACACCTTTAATAATGTCATTTTCCATTCTAGGGAAGAAAGAGCAGGGAAAGAGGGGACGCTATCTTCCACCTCCAGCTGGGGAGCTAGCACGTGCTCTCCCTAGGGAACGCAGAAAAGCCTCACCCAGGTAGCAGAACTCAGCTCTCAGGGCAGGCAGAGGCCCAGGGGCTCGGCGAAGCCCAGCACATAAAGCTGAGTTCGTTTCCCAGCCACAGACAGAGGACGAGGGGAAGAATGCTGACAATCAGCTGCCACCTCGGCACACGTGTTTGGAGTTCGCTTGTAATTAGTCTGCGTTCATAGCGCTGTGTAGGCAGAGCATCTGCAGCCACGGAAACTCAGAACCAACATGCTTGCTTCAAGTGACACATCTACAGGAACCATATGCCAAGTGACAGAGCCGAGTCCCGCCCTCCCCAGCGGGAACGTGGGCCCTGTCTCCACACACTTACACCCCAACAGGGCCCTGTCTCCACACGCTTCCACCCGGCACGGGCCCTGTCTCCACACGCTTCCACCCGGCACAGGCCCTGTCTCCACACGCTTACACCCTGATGGGGCCCTGTCTCCACATGCTTCCACCCGGCACGGGCCCTGTCTCCACACGCTTCCACCCCGGCACGGGCCCTGTCTCCACACGCTTACACCCGACACAGACCCTGTCTCCACACGCTTCCACCCCGACACAGACCCTGTCTCCACACGCTTACACCCCGACACGGGGCCTTTCCTGCTCCTGTTCCCCTTTCCCCAGGCTCACATCACCTCATCGGCTTCTTGCTTGTCCCTTTGCCATTTGCTAGTGTTGGCCTTCAGGATGCATGACTGGCTTCCCGGTAAGAAGGAGCAACACTGGCCAGGGCGTTAGGCGTGGGGAGAAGGACTGCTGCCCTATACTGAAAACACAACCCTCCCTCTGCATCCGGGGTGGACAGCTTCTATGGCCCTCTATGGATGCTCAAGTCCCTTATGGGAAATGGCAGGGAATTTGCACATAACCAAGGCATATCCTCCTGCACACCGTACATCATCTCTCAATTGCAAACTATGCCCAATACAATGGAACTGCTATGTACGTAGTCATTATTCTACACTGTTCAGCAGATAACAAGAAAAAGGTGTGTACATATTCAGGATAGACAGAGTTTTGGGAGAAAGATACTTTCCAGAGTTATTTGGATTTGGAGATGCGGGCCCCAGAGATGTCTTTCACACCAGAGGAGTGTCAGATGTTTCGCCCACGTGTAGTCCTCCACCAAGTTCCACAAAGCAGACATCCTACTGTCTGCCCCCCTGTGCCATGGGGCCTCCTGACTGAGTTGGAGCTGCCCCTCTAAGACTGAGGTCACAGAACCACCTTCTTTCAAGTAGTAAACATACCAGTAAGTAAACATCGAAGTACCTGGGATTCATACTTTCCAAATCATATGTTTATCAGCTATCTAATCTGAACGAAGTGAAAACTGTCAATGTTTGACTTTGAATTTTACCCAGCAATTTTGCCTTCATGCTGACAACCCTTTGGGAAAATCTAAAATCAACATTAATCTGCCCTGGCTGGATTTCCATGGAGGACCAATCCCAAGCATCCGCTTCTCCGTTCTGGAAGGCTCAGCAAAGCTCTTTGGGTGGGGGTCCCAGAGGCTTCACCCCCATGCAGGTCCGTACATCAGAGGTGAGTTCCTCTCATCTTGATGGAGCACCACCTACCTGACTCTTTGTCTGCACACCAATTCCACTGCCTCTGTGTAGCCAGACCCCAGGGACCCTCATGCAAAATGTTGCTGAGCATGTATGAAATTGACATTTGTACACATATGAAACATCTAATTTAATTCTGAACATATCAAGCAATACAACTAAAAATGGCCCCCAGCATACCCCAGTGGATATCTATTCATCTGTTTTCTTCCTCTACCTCCATGGCCACTCCAATTCTCAGCACATAGTACATGCTTAATAAATAGCTGTTGGCCACATCCATGAATCAAAACATAAGAA